TGACAATTTAAAGTTAACCCCCCCCCCCCCCCCCCCCGCCCCCAACACACACAGTTGAGTTAACCCTGTGTGGGGCCCAGTCAAACACATCAGTAGTCTGGATTCAGCTTGCAGGCTCTGATTTAAAAGAAGTGTTCAGGAGATAGAGACACTGTTCTACGGATCTGACTGTCCTCCCTCTAAGGCCATATTAGAAACATGTTGCTACCTCATCATATTGCCTTGACATTCTTCTTTTGCTCTTTTGCTGGGTGAATTTTTCTCCTGTTTCACACCTGAATGCATGATTTTCAGTCTTGTCAGTGAACCAAGGGACCCAACATTATTAAGTATCTGTGTGTACAAGCTACGTACTGATAGGCACTCTTGTTTCTCTTCCCAACAACCTTGTGAGCTAAGTGTTGCTGCCTGCACCCCGTTAATAGATGAGGGGGACTGATAAAGGGCCAAGCCAGGGTAAGACATTAAGACTTTGATAGTTGAAGGAAGATCTGATGGAAGCCTTTTTTTTTTTTTTTTTTTTTTTTTTTTTTTTTTAACCTGCTCTTTTATTATAGACACAAGGGGTGTATTTGCTCAGAACACTGGCTTCGGTCCAGTGCTTCAGTTATTTGCCCGGCCAGGATGACCTTGTGATTCAGTTGCTGCTTCCCCAAGTGTGCTCCCTCACACACTTTCCATCCCCACCCTCTCCGTGCAGCAGACCCCTCTGGACAAAGGTTAAGATGCTCTTCTTTCCCTAATGGGAAATGTTGTTCCTAGGAATTTCTAGGAACCTAAGAATTCAGATGAACAACAGCCTTAAAACCAATGCCAACTATTTGAATCACTAAATATTATGTATGTTTATTTAGATTTGCTAGCCACCTGTAAAAATGTGAACAAGGCTGCAGAAGCTACAGCCAGGGTTTCATGAAACTGGGGGTCTGTGCAGGCCTCTGCCCTTTAGGGAGGCAGAGGCAGGGCTGGTGGCTCAGGATCTCCAGATGCTGACCTCAGTCCTTGCCTGGTCGTGACAGCTAGAACATTCTTGCTTAGCTTGCGGAAAGGAGAGGGGAGGCCTGTTTTTCAGGACACCGGATAAACAGATGCTTTCTGCACCAGAAGGGCTGTTGCACAGACACAAAGCAGTCAGCAAGCCCACAACTCCAGGTCATCAGTGTCAAGGTCACCCTAGCCCTGAGTGTTTGTGAATCAAATTAATTGGAATTGTATCCTTTCCTTGGTGCAGTAGGAAGCATGGCTTCCGGGGTGAAAGGCTTATGAGCTTGTTCAGGGCTTATGAGCTGGGTTAACTTGAAGCAAGTTTTTCTAATTTCAGTTGCCTCATCTATAAAATGAGTATGAAATAGTAATAACACCTTTCAGGATCGTAGTGAGGCTTCACGGACCGCTGCGCATGAAAGCAACGTGTGCAGTCTAGGGTTTCATACAAATATCTGGTGGTGTTTGCCTTGGAAGCTTTCTTAGAATAAAGCAAGCTTTTTATCCACGTGGTAGCACAAACAGACAGACATCCTTGCCTTTGAGGGAAGAGCAAAGAAAACCCGCTCAAGGCACAAAGATGGTTGGAGATACCTGTTCTCTCGGTCCAGCTGTTGAGGAGATTCAGAGAAGCTGCAGGTTAGGAGGAAGTCGTCAGCTAGACCTCCAGCTCCTGGAAACACCTCCTCTCTCTCCACAACCAAATAGCAGTGGCTGTTTTTGCAGTGACAGGAGGCATCTCAGCCCTGGGTCCCTCCATGGGGCTCCTTAAGTTGGAACTGTAACTTTGATCTGACTTTTCCCTGAGTTAGAAGAATGTTGTAATAAGAGATGATGTTCTCCAGTGGCCTGGTACACAACTTTTTCTAGGAATGGCCACAAATACCCCATTTAATTGACCTGCCAAACGCTATTCCTATATTCAGTAGGAAGTTGGTGGTGGTTAATAATCTGTGTGTGAAAATCACCCATCTCCTAAACTTTAACTACTTTTCTGGGTGAGTTTAGACATATGGTAGGAGAGGGAAACAGACTTTGAGAAAAGAACTCATATTTGCGTTGGGAGCCCAAGATAAGTTGGTGGGGCCAGAGGACGGGCTCCACTCCCCCTGAAGCAGAAGAGAAAGCGTCCCCAGGAGAAGGAAGCAGGAAGCTGTCTGAGAAACAGGGAGGACTGTGAAGGGAGCAGATATCAGAATAGGGGAAACCTGCCAGAGGCGCTAAACCTGCAAGTATGATCTGTGAATTGCTGTTTTCAATCACAACTATAATACACGAAGAAACTCACGGGTACTAGAGGCAAAGTTTCTTACCGATGTCAGAGGGACCTACCCCAGTATTTAAAAAAAATTTTTTTTAACATTTCATTTTTTGAGAGACAGGGGGAGCGAGCCGGGGAGGGGCAGAGAGAGAGGGAGACACAGAATCTGAAGCAGGCTCCAGGCTCCGAGCTGTCAGCACAGAGTCAGACGCAGGGCTCAAACGAACGAACCGTGAGATCATGGCCTGAGCCGAAGTTGTACACTTAACTGACTGAGCTACCCAGGTGCCCCTACCCCAGTATTTTATAGAGCCTGACTGTGGGCTCTTTGCTCATAGCTACGTGGGTGGGAGCAACGAGTGGTCCAGGCCTGACCGATGTGAACTGGTGTGCAGTTACAGGGAAACTTGCGCAGGCCTTGGAAACTTTATGCCCTGGAGCCTGAGAAGAGAATGCTTGGCGTTATTCTCATGCAAAGGGACATTTAGAAAGTCCTTAGGATGCAGCCTGGAAACCACAGGACCTTCAGAAGGGTATCATATTCACATTCTGGAGGTTGGGGGCCAAATCTCAGAAACCTTGCCAACTGGCACAGGAGCCCAGTTTAACATGCTGCAGGGCACAAAACGTGGAACTAGAATGCCATGAATCCGGATGCTTCACTCTGCTTGCAGGGAGGTTTGCCTTCTGCCACGGTCCCATTTCAAAGGCTCTGTTAATAAATGCTTGCCTGGGAGCACAGAACAACACTGGGCCAGGCCGCTGGGTATGAGCAAAACCACCGGGAGAGGACCCTAGGCCTCTCCCTTGGGTGGGGCAGGATGATTGGAATCTGAGGAAGAGGCAGCGAGTCAGGGAGTGTTGAAATGAGGTCGCCAAGGCCTAGGATTAAAGCCGGGCCACCCTGCCCTGTGTATGATGTATGGATGATTCCTCCTCCCAGTTTCCTGCACTGGTGGGACATCCTTATTTCTAGGGGAATCCTCTGTTGTCTGTCACCAGCCATTCCATTCTACCCTGACAGCAGAGTGCAGCAGAATCACCTAAGGATGCACTTACTAGGGGCCTCATGCCATGGCCCACCCAGGCCCCGTCATCAGAATCCTGGAGCCTCACTGACCTGGGCGAGGCAGCCAGGTACACAGGCGATTCTGATTCATCGTGCTGGGTGTGGCCTCCCAAGGATAAATACAAGAGCAGCTGCTATTTTTGGGGTACCTTGGTCCTCTGATAAACACTACATGTGCATCAGCAAAGTGGCTCCTCAAAAACCATCATCTCCTCAAATTATGCAGAAGAAAGCTTGGGCTCATAGAGGTTAAGTGATCAGCCCAGTTTCACCCAGCTAGTAAGTGGCAGAGGCAGGGTCCAAACCCAGGAATATGAAGCATGACGATGAGGCTGGATGTCAAAGTTCTGCACACAGTTAAAAACACAGGTTTATTTGTACAGTTGACCCAAAGCCACCTCTGACCAAAGCCCTGTCTAAATCTTGGAGCCAAGCCCTTGGGAGCATTCCAAGTGTGGCAGAGCTCAGGCAGAGCACCTTGGTGGCCACGTGGTGGACACCGTGGAGCCTGGGGGTTGCGGGCATGTTTTGTAGCCCTGCCTGGTCCTAGGCCTTTATGGCAGAGATGCTTTTTGCAAGTGCGGCCCTTCCAGAAGGTTGAGTCAATCTGGGTTTGCTGCAGGCGCCACGGTGCCCCAAGACTTTGCTGAGCCCTTGCATAGTACGAGGGAGGCATACCTACTGTCCACCTGCTTCTATGAGTCACAAAACTGCCACCCGGCCTGCCAGCTCTGCATTTTCCCCCACTCGCCACCGTGCCAAGACAGAACTTAGCCATATATGGCAGGGGCACCAGTAGTGCTTTTCCCTAGCCTGCCTGCCTGCCTTTTGGAATATGTCCTTGGACAACCAGCCGGATTAAAGCTCAAGGTCCAGGAGGTTTCATTTCCTTTTTACCAGGTGGCTGGGGAGCGAGAGGAAAAGAGCAGCCTTGGCTCCAAGGGCTCAGGCCTGAGAGGAGAGTCAACCCCCAAACATGTGGTGGGGGTACAGGATTAGCAAGTGCCCTGGACGCCCTGGCTGAGGCCAGAGAGAGGTAAAGGAGGGAAAGATAGAGTTCTGTTAAATATTCAGGCTTTAGGCTGCTCAGTGTATCCCCTTTGACATTTGCAGGGGGTTCATCATTGAGAGTCTTTCAGCTGAAAGGTTCCCACTTTTTCTTGAATAAAGGCTTCCTTATCTGCCTAACTAACATTCCTCAAATGATTGCAAACCTCGATAGCACCTAAAAATGCACCCTTTGTGCAAAGTTCTCCAGAGGCACTCTCCTTTGCTGTTTTCTGTTGCCAGGACTTGAATCAGTGTAATAGTTGGGTAAGAGAGCCAAAATGAAATAAAATCAAACCTTCTATTAAAGGACATAGCAGTAATATTAAACTACACACGTAATGTGGCCTGTGCTTGCATACGCTCATATGTGCCGGAGGCCCCCTAACTACTGCAAATGTTTATGTATATTTGTTTCCTCTCAGAAGATGCTAGAAAAGGCTCCATTGTGCTGCGTGTTGGGGTGGACGGATGAAACTAGTACTGGGTTTCTGCAAAGGAAAGATTTATGAAGGAGCTCCAATGGGAGGGCATTCTCATAACTACCTCACAGAGCCCGTGATGACTGGGAAAAATGCATCCTTTTCCCCTAAGTAATGCAAACTTTAGGAATGTTTAAACAACTTACATTCTTTTCAGGTTTCAGGTAAAAACAGTACCTGACAATGTCGAGCAAAACAGCAAGCACCAACAACATCGCCCAGGCAAGGAGAACTGTGCAGCAGTTGAGAATGGAAGCCTCCATTGAGAGAATAAAGGTAAGAGGCCTGGATGGGATCAAACGTGTTTTCTGATCAGGCCCCTCTGCTCCCCACGGCGGGGCCACGTTTCCGAGAAGGCAGTGCCATTCCCTGCGGCTTGGGGCCAGGATTTTCCTAGGGCCGGCTGAGAGCCTCAGAATCTAACGTTTATTTCTGCCCAGCCTGGGCTTCATTTCAAAAGCACAGGCAAGCCAAAGTGTCTGAGTTAGCCTCTCTGTTGGAACAGAAAACCTAGACCCAATGACAGGATTCCCCAAGAACCTACCTTCCCTGAAGGAACACAGCCAAGTCCCGTGATCTCTGTGTTATGCACTGGGACAGGGGTTCTAGATGGATTTTATAAACACCCTTGTTATCCCTCTGGAATTTACTAAGTGCGTTAGAGTATAGTCTGGCATAGCAAGTCAACACTCGGGGTCTCCTTTTTTAAGACTACGCCACTTTTTTAAATGTGTGTGCACTATTTTAATGACCACATTCTGTACCCGGGGTGAGTAATGCCAGCCTTAGTTGAGATCTACGAGAAAGGGGAAGGCATTTGTTAGGTCACCTGACTTCGAAGTCTTTTCTCCCCAAATCCCAAGAGAGAACTGGGCAGTGTGTGCCCTGGAATGTTGTGAGTAATGCTGTTTCCTAGAAACTGAAGCAGTCACCTGATACATTCCTCTGGGCCTGGAGATAGTCACCTGTCTTCAAAACATGAGGCTGCTTATGCTGTATTTGACGGGACTCAGCTGCCCTGTGTTCCTTGCCTGAGGACACTGATCTGATTATTCTGTGGAATAGCCCACCCAGACTTCTGAACAGGGTGTGGCATTTTCTGTTTTTAACTCATGCCAGAGGAAGGCACTGAATCTTCCCATTCTGGTTTTATCCCTCCTTTTATTTTTCTAAGACCAACCTTTAACAGTAGAACCTAAAGCTCTTCTCTCAAGAATACAGACTCCAAGCCCATAATTCAGTTCCAATTTTGTATCAAATACAAACTAAGATACAGCCTTCCCTTGATTCACATATACTTCCCCATTCCCACGCTTATTTTGAAAAGCGTCAAACCTGTAAAAGAGCTATCACAACAAACACCCATATACCCTTTGCCACGATTCACCAATTATTAACATTTTGCCACATTTGCTTTTGCTGTGTCTTGTACACACACCCACACAACACATACCCTTTAAACCACTTGAAAGTTATTTGTAAACATCGTGACTCTTCACCCTTAAATACTTCACCTTCCTCATAACCACACTACAGTTATAACATTCGGGATCATCTAATAATATCTAACACACAGGCCACTTTTGAAGAATCCAGGCCACTCATTTTGCAGAATGGCCCTCCCATGGGATACCATTGCTTGCCGATGCTTCGATGCCGGCTAAATGTTTTGGCGGGAATAGTTGCTAGCTGGTGGTGCATCATCTGTGCTCACCCTAGGAGACACGTGATGTCATTTTTCTCCGATCTTTAAATCCGATCACTTGGTTAAAGAAGCAGAGCTACCAGATTTGTCCGTTTACAAATCTTTTTCCTTTTTAACTGACAAGTAATCTGGGAGAAACGGGGTCTGGAAAGATCATTCCACCAGTCTTCTACATAGAGGACCAGCATTCAACTACCCTTTTAAAGTTTGTGAATACATTATTTTCTTGTGTGTTTGCTTTGGTTCATCCACACGTCAGGTGTCAAAGGCATCGGCGGACCTCATGTCCTACTGTGAGGAGCACGCCAGGAGCGACCCTTTGCTGATCGGGATACCAACCTCAGAAAACCCTTTCAAGGATAAAAAAACTTGCATCATCTTATAGAGGAACACGGAAACCGTCCCTCGCCTCTTCTCAACAAAGCAAATTATGAGCAGCTCCTTGGAAGACATTTACCTTCAGCTTATTTGGTAACCACTGCTAATAACTAAAATACTCTAACTTGGAACGATTGACTCTGATGTCTTTATTTTCCAAGCTGCCCTTTCTCTAAAACACCTTTTACTCATTTAATACAGAATAACAATCTTCTTTTCCATTTGATAACTATGGTGTCCTATTGGGTTACTGCTTCAGAAAAGTTGGTCTGGGCCATTTTAAAAAAACATTATCTGCTTTTAAATATATGAATAACCCAGTCATATCAAGACTTAAATTACCTAAGTACCTGTCTAGGTTAAAATGCCAAGAATAACTTACTGAAACCTTTATGTTTTTAATAGGGTTGTGCCAACCTGTACAGTGTACATGGGTGAGGAGTGTTTTGTGTATATATATATGTCTTTGTATATACACATATCAATGCTATTTCCTTTTTAAAATTTCTCTCTCCATGCCATCAGTTCGACTCCAGAAGTTATACCTTTGTCTTGAGCTGTATGTAGATAGAATAAAAGTTTTTCATATAGTTATTGTACAAAAAGGTATCCACTGTAATTGAGTTTTGAAGAAATGTTGCTGACCTCTTAGGCTAGAATTAACTATACCGATTAAAATTTAAAAACTGAACTAAAAACCCTCTTATCAGGTATTGACAAGGAAACCTAAAAAGGCTCCCATGATCCTGAGTCTAGAAGAGGGGGGGAGGCCTCTGGGCCAGACTCTGGGGCTCATGTTCTCTAGATTGTGGAGAGACACCTCTGAAATGTCCACCCTAATGCCTAGAGTGCACATGAGCCCCGCCCAGAGGAGAGCAGGAATGTGTGAAAACCAGCTGCTTTTCTCAGCCAAACTTTGTAATTTCACTCTCTCTGCCCTGCCCTTTGTCTTTCCTCTCCCACTAGAACATCTCTTTCCAGAGGTGGTATTCACCTCCCCAGCCCCAAGTGGGTGGAACATGGTGGGATGGAAATACATGAAACACAACAGTATCAGGCACTTTTCAAATAGCTATAGTGCCAGTGTGTTCCCTACCTTGTCCACAAACCACCCGAGGCAGGCTTGGATTCAGGGGTACATGACTTGGGCTTCAGGGTTCCAGCAGCAGGTTCCTTGATTTTCCTCTGGACATGAGTACAGCCCTCACATCCTTGGAATTTCCAGTGGGCATCCCAAGAATGTCCTGTGCCCAGAGAGAGTATTTTAACTTTATCAGAGAAAGACAAAGCGTTCTTAAAAAAAAAAAAAAAGCTCACCTAAGGGCTCAAACCATTCACAAGCCTTTGATATTTTAATTCATCTTTAGTTCATTAAAAATAACTACTGATGAAGGATTAAAAGCTTATTTTCAAAAAGGAGTCAACCCCAAAATGGAATTATTTCTGATGGTTTTCCCTAGTTCTGTACAATCTTGCCCTGCAACACAAGCCCCTTTTAAAACCTAATGTCTGGTTTTAAGTATTAAGTGGATTGTGGGTGAACAAATGTAGTGCTATTTTTAAACTGTTCAAATATATAGTATTTCCCCAGTCACCTATCTGTTCAGTATTGTGAACTGCCCTCACTTTTCCAAGATCATGTGAAAATCATGCCACTGGCCTTATCCTCTTGTCCTCTGCCTCTGGGTTTTGCAATATGACCAGTTTCCACATAAATTGTAGGCACCTGTTTAGGAGAGATAAAGGTGACATTTGAAATGTACACGAAAAAGACAACATTGCATTTAATGCTTCACTTAATGAGACATTTTCTTTTAATAAGTATATTTTTCTACCGATAGTTTCAGAACACTAATCTTATTTTCACTCTGATTTTTAACATGTTTCTTTAAATATTTATAATACAGCTTGTTAAATATTTTTATGAAATTTTATTATACCTTTTCATTATATGTGCACTTTTTCAGTAGCATAGTTCATTGCTTAGTACTAAGTTATGTTCTTTTACCTAATGGAAAACAAATATGTTTTGCTCCCTATTTGTTAATGTGCTTATAGTGGTAAGGAATGGACTTGAGGTCCCTGAAGATTTCATTTTTCCTGGTCAGATATCATAAAGGCTAGGAGTATAAATATCATGTAGCTTCCTAATGATGTATAGGGCATGTTTAAGAAAAGTGAAATCACATCCTTTGATGCTGGACCCAGTGGGGAAAAATTGTAGTTAAATGTTGATTTACTTAAAACTAGACGTCTGTGTGAGAAAGTACATGTATAGGACATACAGAAATCACTTTTGTCAGGCTTTATTTTACTTATGAAACACCATTTTTAACTGTTCTACAGCAGCTGGTTTATGATAATGGACAAATGCCCAGTACGTGTTGTTTTTCCAACTACCACTATAAAAATACAATCACATATATACATGCAACTTTTGGCTTCATATCTGTGAAGCTATTTAAATGTGTTCATTATACTTTTGCCTTTAACGCTGTTTCTGTTAACAGTGACTTTTTTTCATTCTTATATGTTCATTAGTGCATAAATCTGTCCAATTGAGGCCTCAGGACCACGGCAAGATATGCTAGATAAAATTTCATGACTCCGAAGTATTTTACAGAAACACATTATTCCAGTTTGTTCACCAAGTATAGGTTGTGGCTATTTTTTCTTCTCCAGAGAATCAGGTTTTTACATTTCCTTACCTTATGAAAATGAAAGTGCCATAATTATCTTTTAAAGGAAGGACCTGCCTTCTTTCCATACTGTTTTTGTACTTTACTAATCTTTAATTATCAAAGAAATTATACCAGTGACTTAGTAATTTTGAGGCGTAGGTTAGTTTAGGTAGTAGAGGATGCACCAAACTTTTTCTTCAGATGCCTTCTTCTCAGCTAATTTACAACTAAGTGTCATCTGATTATTCCAACTATTGATTGAAGATCTGTAGAAGCCCAAGAAATGAACTATAGTACATGTCTGTCCTTCTCCATAAAATATAATACTGGAGTGTGTTATGAATTGTATTGATTTCTTTTATGATAGATCTATTAACAGGAACAAAATACGTGAATCAAATAGAATTAAGTGTAAATTAAAATAGAGCACTTACCTAAAGTTGGGTGGCCTGGATCATAGCCTTGGATCCTTTTTTAGCCAATGTGGTGCCGCTGTGTCGTGTGACTCTGAACGAGGCACTTCATCTCACTGGGCCTCCGTTTTGCCATCTGTAAAACAAGGGGCTTGAAGTAGACGATGGTGGAGATCCCCCTGCCCCCGCACCTCCACTCTCCGAAGCCTCGGTCCAATGGCCTACCCCTCTACAGGTCCTGCCAATGTGTTGGTGCTATAAGCTGCTTCAAATATAAAATGGTTCGTCTATCATATATGCTCATTTAATAGCTTATGAAAGTCCTTTTTGTTATAAAGCTTTTTCTGGTTTTATGGACTTGATTACTGTAATGTTTTGTTTTTAGCCGTGTAACTCTAAACATCATTCACTTGTCCCAGTAATCTGGGATGGGATTTTGTTATTTTATGGCATTCTTTGGCTACTCATCTGTCCAGCATCTTATTAACCTAAGCACTGTGATCATTGTTTGGAAATCTGTCCTATGGAAAGAATAGAAACATTTCCTTCACATGTACTTCACAGATTCAAAAGAAGTTTCATTAAAACATCCTTCTCTTTACTGGATCCGTGCCTCACTGTATCATCCTACTCGTGTTTTGCTCAATAAATTAATAGAAGACCAGCTTTCTTCCATTCTCCTTCATTCAGTTACCATTGTCTTAACACCTGCTGAGAGCCAGATGTTGAATACCAGGCTCTGACCCTCTAATGAGTAAGACTCACACCAGCCCGTGCAAAGCTCACAGTCCGGAGCAAGGAGGGTGGCATGGCAGATAGAGAAACTGACAATCGAGCAGCAGAGTACCCTGTGTGAAGGTGAGCACATGGTACTGTGAGAGCCCAGAGGAGGAAGGACCAGCTCCACAACAGTGAGGTCTGAGGAGGCTTCCAAGGGAGGTGATGTGTGAGCTGGGTCTTGAGAAAAGAAGAAATTTTGTAAGCACTAGAATGAAGTCTTGGAAGAAAATGAGGGAAGAGGAGGAGAGTGGGCTCAAAACTAGAGTACAGAGTAATTCCCAAACTACTTGTTTGTCCTGCAAGCAACAGGAAGGCAGTGGAGGTTATTAAAGAGGAATGATGTAATGGTATCCAATGTGTAGAGAGGGTGGTTTCCCAGCCTGAGACCCAGCTGTGACCATGGAAACAGATAACAAATGAAAAAGCCATTACGCTCACAATGACTCATATTCACCAAGTATTTGCCAAAGGTACCCTGCCTCCTCCTCAATTCCTTCCCCTAAGGCTGGGATTCCCTTAGAGATGAAGGAACAATATCATCTTCCAGGAAGGGAAAAAAGGCAGCCAGTGAGTGTCTGGTTATGGATCTGGGCAGCTACAGAGATGACCCTGGCTTCTGAGAATCAGTACATACACACTATAAAGGGTAGGAGCAAAAGAGTCCTTCAGCCCTTTCTAGGAAAGGACTGAAGAATTGAGATTTTGATCATGAAAAACAGCAGCTAACATGCACTTTCACTGGTTCAGACCAAAGTATCAGAAGTTCCTGTGACTTTCAGTGGAGGACAATTGTATTAGGAGATGGGACTGGGTAGGGGTGAATTTAAAACAAAGTGAGGGAAGAGAAGGTAATGCAAAGGATAGACAATGTAAGTAAACATGGCAGATGAAATGTTATACTACCTTAATGTTATGAACAAGGAACTCAAACCTACAGGTGATGGTGGTAGCTTGGTGTGGAGATTCATGTCACGTGGCTTTCCAACTCTCCAAGATACGGGGGGTGAACACCTTCTCATCGGCAAGATGGTCAGTTACAACATACATATACATGTGTATAGTATTTATAAGCCGCCTTATTGGTGGTAGGTAGACACCTGTTGAGGATTTCTCCCTCCTTCCTTCCCTGTCCCTAGGTTTACAAACCTTTGGCTTACAGCTCTGTAGAACCTGATTCCACCATCAGCTATACCCATCTTTGCACCATCTAGCATGGATATCACCTTTAGCTTGTCTTCAGAGCATGGCCCTACTGGCTACTTTACTTTACCTCTTTACCACTGTAAGCAGCAAACAACCTTTGCCTTCAGATGAGCCCTTGTGCTATTCCAATTACTATCTCCTTATCAGAGTCATTCATGTCTATCAAGGCCGTTTAACTGTAGGCTAGCCTTGGACAAACATGCACAGTTGGTCTCAAGAACCCTTCAATTATCAATTTTTTCAGAAACCAATATTCTCTTTATCCTGAGGGAAAATGCAATCCAAATAAATTCATTCTAAAATGCTAGTGACTTAATGGTTAGAAGATCACTATGGAAAGAGCCATGTTTAGCATAAAGGAGAAGTTAATAGTAAAGTTTTAGATACCATTAAGAATTATTCATATGAAGCATTCCTATACCCTATAAATCCTAGATAATCTTCTTAATTATAAAAGCAAGTAATTGAAATCATTGAGATGCATAATGGCAAGATCCCAGGCTTGGAGGTCTAAGAAATTTGCAGCCAAAACATCTATGTACAAGTTGCTACTTCTGGTCTCTAGATCCGGTCACCCCCCCATCCTTCCACACACACATCCTACTTAGGTAGAAATGAGAGCTTCATTGACTAAGAGACTTCAAATCTGGTCCTAACACAAAATATTCATCCTGTGACATCATGGGGGACCCTGTGGATCTAGAAGTTGTTGTTCTGGGGGCAAGCCTAAGGCACTCACTGGAAGAACATGGCCAGCAGTACCTGCTTTGTTCCTGGCACTGACTGGCACAGAGCATTCATGTCTCCTGGGATCTGGTTAAGGATAACCCTAAAAGTTGGCATGTGAACAAAAGAGAAAACCCAGAAATAAACCCATGCTTACATGGCCAATGTATGGCGAAGGAGGCAAGAATATACAATGAGGAAAAGAGTCTCTTTGATAGACAGTGCTGGGAAAACTAGACAGCTACATGCATAAGAATGAAACTGGACCACTTTTTACATTATATACAAACAAAATGGATTATAGACCTAAATATGAGACACAAAACCATAAAAAACCTAGAATAAAACATTGGCGATGATTTCCTTAACATCGGCCTTGGCGACATTTTTCTAGATATCTGTCTCCCCAAGACACAACAAAAACAAAAGCAAAAATAAACTATTGGGACTACAC